GGGCTGGGTTGGGTTGGTCCTGTACATTGCCACTACATGCAGCTGGGGGCTGGGGTGGGAGCACAGGAGCTGTGTGTTATGGGGCTGGGTAGGGCTGGCCCCACACCTAGCCACCATGTGCAGCTGGGGATTTGGGTGGGAGCACTGTTGGGCGGATGTTACTATTGGGCTTGCTGCCATGTGCAACCAGGCACTTGGGCGTGTTATGGAGCAAGTGGGGCTGGCCCCACATGCTGCCACCACCTGTGGTCAAGGGACTGGGGTGGGAGTGCAGGGAGCTGTGTGCTATGGGGCCGGGTGGGGCTGGTCCTGCTCACTGCCACCACATGCAGCTCCAGGGACTGGCAAGCTCCAAGGACCCCTCCACACACACCCCACCCCTCACCATACCCCCAAACACACCCACACCCTCCTACAGCCACCACACACACCCCACTCCTCACCATACTCCCAAACACACCTACACACTTCCACAGCCCCCATACACCCTCCCACCCCACCCACAATAACCTTACACACACCCCATACCTCACACTGCTTGCATGTCCCTACACACCCACTCCCCAACCACACCCCACACATACACCCTCTTACCCCCCCGAACAGCATACAAGAGTAAGACTGTTTTTTGAGCTATCACGCAATCAACTCTAGATACACTATGCAAACGCACATAAATTGGGACAAAAATATTTTTAAAATACAATTAACTTATAGTACACTTGATTTTTTATTTTTTTTTTAGTATATGATTTGTTTTTCCCTGCCAGTTTCAAGATGGCATCACTCTTCCTCCCAAAAGGAGTACTTCCGGGGCAAGGGGAAAGACTTCTGTTCGCAAAGGCTAGGGGGTGGGAGTTCTGTTGCCAAGATGGCACCCAGGGGGCGGGGCGGGGCTACTCTTGAGGCCCTCAACAGCTCATCAAAACTCGTTAAGTGGCCCTCCAGCCAAAATAATTGCCCATCCCTGCTCTGGCAGAGCTATCCATATTTGGCTAAAAGCATCGTAAAACAAAAGACACTTACGCCTCTGTCCCTTCCATATCTGACATGTTTGGACACACCTCAAGAGTTTGGGCTGTTGAAAAAATGGATGCTTCTAGAGTTCACCATTTGGCTGACCCCCCGTTTTCACAAGGAATCTCCTACATTTGTCTCTAGCAGGGGTGAGCAATTATTTGCAGACAATTGAATGAGTTTTGGTGAGCTGCTGAGGGTAACAGATGTGTGCGTGCACGCATTCCCCACACCCAAGCTGGGGCTGGTGCCAGAGAAGCAGTGGGAACAAGAGCATAAGGCTGCCCAGGGCTGTAGCACGTCCTGCCCTACCTGAAGCTTGGGGAGGACAGGGAATAAAACCTGGCTGCGGGCCTCTGTGCTGTCCCACCCCACCATCAGGGCTCCTGGCGTATGTATATGCATGCACACACTTATCTTCCACCCCCGACCCCACGGCTCCCAGGAACCCTGATGTGGGGGTGGCCGGGGCAGGGCAGGGCAGGCCAGGACAGTGCAGAGGCCTGTGGCCAGGCTCCATCCCCCACAGACAGAAGCTGGCCTCTGCTGGTGTTGCAGGGGATGCTGGATGGAAGCAGTCCTGCCCAGCATCACTCAGTGACCGGGGCCTGAGCATTGCCCACCCAGGGCCTGCCACATAGTACTTGGTAGGCAGGCAGTGCTGCTTCTACCCTGTGGCACTTGAGAGATGCAGTCCAGGCCTGCAGGCTGTGGACACCATCTGCCAACAGAGACCAGGGCCCAGTCATGGCTTCTCCAGGGCCTGCAGGGTTGGACTGCATCTCCCAAGCACGGTGTGGGTCCCTGGGAGGAAATGGCCCCACCCACACAGCACCATGCGGCGGGCCCTGGGTGAGCTACGCTTGGGCCCTGGATTCTGCTGGCACCAAGCAGGTAGGCAGGCAGGGTTGCTTCTGTGCATCATCCCCCCGCAGAGGCTTGGAGATGGAGTCTAGTTTCTTGGGCCCTGGGCAGGCTGGACTCCATCTCCCAGGCTGCTGGGGCTGCTTCCACTCCGCATCCCCTCCATGGCACCAGCAGAGGCCAGAGCTGGAGCCACAGCCTACACTAGCCACCAGCAGAGTTCTGAACACAGCTCACCCAGGGCTTGCTGCGTGGTGCCATTGCCTGTGGGCTGGATAAAATCAATTGATGGGCTACATCTGGCCTGAGGACCATATTTTGCCCTCCCCTGGTCTGTGGTCTCAAGGTAGCCTACAGGACCACTTCTGTGTGACCCTGAACTTGCAGGCTCTTACTAAAGACCTCTCTAATCAGTGAATCATAGTTCACAGATCCATTGTGGGAAGAGCTACAACTGAAGAGATGAGCAGGGACAGAAAGTAGGCAGTCAGGGGTTGCAAGACCGGGGCCCTGTTGCCTCTTTCATTAAAATGCAGTATTGTCCTGCTTTGCATTGTGGGTGTGACTGGTGATGCCGCTGTCCAGTCAGAACAAGTAGCAGAAGTGGCAGGAGTGCAGCATATATTGAAGCCAAAGTACTAAGGCACTTAGGCACATCAGTGAGTCACAGCATGAAGTGGAGGCAGTTGTATTTCCACCCCTTATCTAAGGGAATAAAGGACAAGTGTTATCCCTTCTTATTTCCAGGCCCTTGTGGTATTGGTGGGTAGACTCAGCAAGAGTCACCAAAATCCCAGACACCATCAAAGGCCCATTTTTCTCTCCTTATTTTAGAAGCTTTTCCCTCCCCAGTTCAATGCTGCTGGTCTGTTCCTCAACCACAGTGTTCCTGTATAAAAGGCTATCATAGAACATCTTGCCATCTCTCATACTGAAACTTTCCAAGTTTTCCTTGAGGTAAATCACTATGTTAGATGCAGTTGATATAAATACTTTATTGTTGGAAGGGGAATGACTGGTTAAATGTATTTTGATTCTTCACAGACTGTGTACTACACTTCATTTGTGGCAAGAGGAGTCTTCTATGATTGTTTTATGTTCCTATCATCAGCATGGATCCCATGATTCTACCATGTCACATGAATAAGACTGTTTGAAAGTAGAGGGAAGAAAGCATGGTAGGGCCATATTTCAGTTCCCAAGTATAGATTCAGTGGTAACTGGTTTCATTTAGTTAATCTATAAAGGTGCATATCTACCCTGCCTACTTGCATATAAGGAGCCAGGATATCCTTTTTTAATTCCATGAGAGTAAGAGACTCACATTTCCTTTCCCCAGTCCCAAGAAGCCCATCTGAGATGCAATATGGGATTTGTGATCCTATGATGGGACACAGGGGTTGTTGTCCACAGAATTTCCTCCAGCAGGGCCAACAGATAGTCGTTTATATGTTCCTAAGTAACACATGCCTTTAATACTGCTTCAATTCAGGCATTAACTCCAAAATTATTCCAGAGATTGGCAGGGTATCCTGCCAATAATCTTTTCATAGCTTGGACCATTTCCGTCATTTACATTCATTCCTTGGTTTTAAAATATTTGTACTTAAAAAGAATCTAATATATTGTGATTTTTCCTGTAGAAAAACATTGTTTCTGGGCTTGAGTCTCCTTTCTCTTAGGTCCTGAGGCTTGTGTAAGTGTTTGCAATACCAGGATCCTGGATAGTAGCAGATGTATACCCATCTAATTCATTTAATTTCACCTGAGTTATCCCTGATTTTACTCCACTTTAAATGAGTAGAGATTTCCTGTCTGGGTCTGAGAGAGATGGTTTGAGGAGAGCTTATTTCTTGGCAGTAATTCATATTGCTCATTTCATCTTTGTTTTCTACGGTACAGAAAGGCCAGATATTCCTGAAATCAGATGTACATACAAAATAAACTTACCTTGATCAGAGGCAAGTAGGGAAACTAGTTGTGATTTTATCTTTCCTCCTCATAAGTGCATCAGAGAGAGAGATAAAAGAAAGATGCAAATCCCAGCTCTGTTGGACTCTTTGTTAAGAGTGTGCTGAGATTTGGGGTGTTCTTGTTTGGGCACAGAAGCTTTTTTTTTTATTTAAGTGAATCAAATGGAGCACAAGCAGTGGCAGTTCAGTCTTATCTACTTTGCCTCATCTTTGGCTCAGCCCAGTCCTGAAGGGAAGCACCTCTATAGGTAAAGAAAGGGGTACTACAATCTTTATGCCCAAATCATCATTAGCTTCTCTGCTGAGATTCTCAGTTGTGTTTTGTGGTATGATTTACATGGTTGGCTGGGGAGCTGTGCTGAGGTGAGTAATTTATTTAATCTAGGTCACCGAATAACCCCTAACTGGCAAAGAATTCTGCTTAGTTTGGTGATTCCTGTGTTTGAACAAAAAGGTTGACATTGATTTAAGTGACAACAAGCCTCTTCTGTTTGAGTAGAAGCATTCAGTGGTTTGCAGTGGATATCAAAAGGTGGGGGGGGGGGAATCTCTTTGTTTACCTTTCCTCTGTAGAGCTGTACCCCAGAGACAAATGTTTTGAATACTTCAGCAAGGGTGTGGTATTAATGGCTAGTCTCCAAAATTTAATGCTCCTACAGATAAGATGTCAGATGTTAATAAAATGTGTGGTGGAATATATAATCTTTAAAGGACATTAACTATGCAAATACTACATGCATACCCAGGGGCCTTGAAAGATTCACATATCCTTCTGTTGTCTTAAAACAGGTCTACATTAGTCAAGTAATCTCCAATTTATAATATTTTTTTCATTTTTAAATGAATCCATGAACTGTAAATTCACCCTTTAGCTGGCTTAATTGAGTGAATGGTTTTATATGGGGAATTAATTCAGGATATTTTGTTAGTTAAATTTTTAAAAGTCTGCATTTAGTCAAGCACAAGGAACCTAGTTCATTTTGGTTGTACTTACTGAAACGAGATGAATTAGGATAATTTTTTCAGGGCAGGGTCATTGGAGGTTGGGTTTGTGCTGATTTTGCTAAAGATATTAGTATAATTTACCAGCAAATTGTAAATTATGCTGTTTTGCTATTCATAAAAATTCTCATACTGTAAGCACAGATGGCTAACTTTCCACTGACTACAGACCAAAAACCAAAACGTCTGAGGCCATTTGGAAAAAAGGGGCATTATTTGTTTGAAAGGTACAAAAACATCTGTCAGGAAAGGCTGGCAAGGGCCAGCAGATCTGTTTTGATTTTTATTTTTTTCCTTTTTTATTTATGAAAGTGTTAGAGATTCAGATAAACTTTCTTTGTTCCATATTTATTATTGTTTCACCTGCCTTGAAATATGACCTGTAAGAGATTTAGATGAATAATGGATTGAAAGGCTGTCTGCCTTCACAGTAGCTCTTGTTAATAACTGATATGCTTTGTTGAACTACTTTTGTAACTTCTAACAGCCAGACTTATGGAAGTGTTATGTGATGAGATCCAATCTGCAATGGAATTTTTATCTAAAGCACTTACATGCTCCCTTTAGTTTAGTATTTGAGCACTTCCCAGTCTTTAATATATTAATCTTTACAACACTCCTCATGAAGTATTGTACAGATGAGCAAAAGAGACTAAGCAACTTGCTCAAGGTCATTCCAAAGTCTGTAGCTAAGTAGGAAATTGAACCTACGTTCCCCATTCTCAAGGGGGCATCCTAAGTACTGGGCCGTTCTTTCTCTTTCTGTTATTAGAGGAAGGGTCTTTGCCTTTCAGTGGTGGGGGATAGACAGTGTTATTATAAAGCAGTGAAATAGGGCCCCTGGTTCTTTCTACAGTAAGTCAATTACAGCTGTCAATAAAATAAAAAAAATATTTTCAAATTTCAGCCAGGTCACTCGCTATACACTGTGGACTCAGTTGTGATTATTTAGAAAAATCACATGATCATTTTACTACATAGCATTAGTTAAGCATTTGAACATATTTTGACTTAAACTGAATTTTCATTTTGTATTTTTAAAAGACTCTAGATATTAAATCTAGATATTAAATAATTAGCAGTGTCAAATCTCATCAGAATGAGTAGTTGCGATATTAACAATTCTTCTATTTACTGTTACAATACATTGAATGGAAATGGAGCATATGCCCTGTGTCCTCTGTTTTCTTAAAGTAAAATTCAAATACAGGAACTAACTATACAATTACTAACTGTAACAGTTCTTTTCTTTCCCATAGTAATGAATCATCAGCACCAGCAGCAACTGACATCCAGTACAGCCATTTCCCAGCAAAACCATCCTACTCAGAATCCTCAAGCTGGGTTGTTGAGTATGCCTAATGCACTGACTACCCAACAGCAACAGCAACAGAAGCTGAGGCTCCAAAGAATCCAGATGGAAAGGGAGAGAATTAGGATGCGTCAGGAAGAGCTCCTACGACAGGTATTATGAAAATAGATGCGTTAGTTCTGCCATATTTTTCCACAAGCACAATCAGCAGACATGTTTCAGTCAAAAAAGCTGAAATAGAAGACAAACTCCGTGAGTGAATGCACATTTTTTGTGTTTCTTTTTCATTCTACACTGAACAGAATACAAAATGGCTACGGACCTTCCAGTCCCTGGAAAGTTCAATATAAACAAAGGTCTGACGATCATAACTAAATTCATGGCAACTATGTCAGCAGAGAGTAAAGACCAAGCTCTGCTATTATCCATGTGTAAATCCAGAGAAATTCTCTTCGTTTCAGCTGAGCTGCCCTGAATTTACACTTGATTCTATGAAAGCAGTGGTTTGGGGATAATACTGTTGGCTTGATCCTGGTTTAATTAAGAACAAAGGCAAAACTCCCAAGATTTGTTCATGAAAGTCTGTTTTAGATTTTTTTGGTCCTGAATTTTGTAACCGACAGCCTTTTGCCCCTTGATTACAGTATAGCTCAGAGTTGCATCTCACATAAGTAGTTGGTAAGTATTGCAGTTGGTAAGTATTCCTGTCAGTTTGGATGTTTTGTTTATTGTTCTAATTCTTAGGTTTCAGTTTTATGATCACTCACATGGTACAAAATAGATATGTAGCTTCCTTCACAACACTTGAAGGAAAGAAACGGTTTAAACAATTGCAAAGGATGTGTTTCTTCTGTTACGGAGTACTCCACTGATGATGTTATGTTTTGAACAGTATATTAATCAGCTTCCTTAGAGAACATAAATAACATAAATAACCTGTTTCCCTTAGGAACATAGCATGAACTAAGTACGTTTTATCGAGGATATTGTTGTCGTAGTCAGCAACCTTGTAAATCCTGCTCCTATAGTTCCAAATATCTTTAAAATTGTGCACTCTTACAAAATAAACCTTAGAATTTGTTTTAATTACCATTTCATGTCTAAGCCTTCTTTGCTTTGGGATTTGTGCCCAATCTCATGGTTATTCCAGGGCAACATTTGTTTATACTGTATTTAGAAATACAGTATCACATTTCTTGGCTGCACATAGAAGTATTTTTTCTGTTTAGGATAATGACAACAATTGGCCGAATTTTTCTGGTGGTTTATTAGGGTACAGTAAACTGCAGTGGTGTGTGGGGTATGTGCAACTCACTACCACAATACAGATGGAAATTCTTATTTTGGATATTAGATATTTCTTTCAAATGATTGGCAGGAATAGTAAAGAAGAGAAGCAACTAAAATCCCAGATGTCCTGAGATAAATTAGCAAGGGAAGATGTGTTAGTGATGATGATAGAGTGGAACATTTTAGAACATGTGTGGGGAGCAAAGTGGGGAAGAGTTACTAAGGCTATGCAGCCTTTTAGGACAGGAACAGTTTTGGATTATCAGAGCAGATGTTACCAGAAAAGGATGTTTGGCCATGAAGTACCTATTTTCTTTTAGGGCAGATAGTTTCCTCAAAGCCAAAAATTAATAGCAAACAGATTGGGTTTCTCACTGTAGTTTTGTATGCTTGCTGTGTTAACAAGTACTATTTTTGCTCTTGTTGTTTTTTAAAGTTCCATCTCAGTAGAACTATTACAAAGAAATCTGGGCAATCATAGAAATGACCAAGAAACTTGCATACTTTCTGTTCTGTTAGGCAAACCCACCATTTTTACATCTTCATTCTGGTCTTTTACTTCTAGTAAATATAAAGAACTTCTCTAAGGCTGATACTTGTGCTCCTGTAATTGTCCGTGGAAGACAATTGCCTTGACATACAAATCTTTTGCCTAAATTGGGCTTTCATGCCTCAAACAAATCCTTTTGATGCTGCAAATCTTTGTGTAACAGGCAATGAGGAATCATATTGTGCTTCATTACAAGTGAGTAGAGGCTACCTGCGAGTGCAAGAATGAAGCATGAAGTGCAGTTCTCCAAGCTGAGCAGTAGTTTCAAGCCCCAGGCATGCCTACTCCCTTGCTTTCAAGAACTCAGGATATAACAGGGGCTCAGGGTGTGTGGGTGAAGAACGGGCATGTCTGGTATGGGTTTAATCATAATCCCCATCAGGCTAATGAAGTACTTAGCTATGTTTACCCCTCTTGGGCCCTATTACTGCTGTGCTAGGCAGGAGTACATTGTTGGCAGTGAAACAGCATTGCCATTAGTGTAGGATCCAGTTTCCCTGCCCTGCTGACCGCATTTTACCTCAAGTGAATATGCACAGCTTTTCATACTGGGGCTGTGCTGACCAAACCACCAGTACACGCCCAGACAGACCCCATACATACACTTCAGCTGCACTGCATAGTATTTACAGTAGGGTGGCATAGTGAGGAGAGTTTGCAGTCTTGGGCCTTTGCTTTGATGGGGAATATATTTCTTTCTCTTCCTTTTCCTCCCCTGTTAATAAAGGAAAAGAAAAAGTTATCTCTGCCCTTCTGCCTGTAACAGGAACTTCATGAACTTCCTGTCAGCAACCTGAGCAGAATGGAGGCCTTAGCAGCATGACAGAGTATAGTAAATCCATGAGGGACTTTGTTGTTAAAAGATTGTTATTCCTACCCTAATCCTTCACTGCTGCTTTTGCTTTTTTTTAATGCAACCTGCCTAAAGAAAAAATGCTGAGTAAGTGTGCTCACTTGCTGCTAAGCGACTAAAATGAGGTGAAGAGGTTTTGGGTGAAAGGGCAGCTCTTTTGGCAGGTCTCTCAAATCTCTTTTCAGCTTGACAGCAGCTGCTGGCTGCCTGGCTCTCTGCAGTCATTCCTGACCCTGCAGCTGCTCTGCTGGAGAGACACACCCAGCAGTGAAGGAATACACAGTTGAGGGAGCTTTCTGGTTAGAGGTTGTTCTTCTTTGTCCTCCCCTTTATTTCAGTAGCTGAAGGATAATGTTTGAAAAAGTGAAGAGCCTCTTTCCTGCAGCAGTGGGAGGTGAAGCCGAGTAGTTGATGTTAAAGAGGGACTCTTTGTTTCTTAAAGCAGAACATGACTCGGCTTTCATTTAAATCTTGCCTTGCTTGTCTTGTCATGCTAGAAGCATTTTGTTTGCCCAGTGTCCTTCCGGCTATTTTTTTGCTAGTTTTGTACAGAAAAATAACAAACTAGATTCTCATATGCCCTTTGGAAACAGACATTGTTAGGGAGCTCTTTGTGAGAAAGCTCTCAAAGGGTTACATGAAGAATGCCTCGTTCCTACTTGCCCTTTATGTGCTAAATAGTTGTGTGAGAGTCTTGTAGAAAAAATAACAAACCAAACAAATCTGTATACCTTATTAAGAAGAGCAGGGGAAACTAAGCAAAGGCAGCTGTAAGGAAGATCTCAGATGCCACTTTCCTGGGTGCAGAAGACCCGATGGAGTTTTGCAGTTTTAACATGAGAAAGGAAAGATAAAGGTACTGTGAACAAGATGGATTTATGGGTGTGAGGGAAGATCCAGGTAAAGATCTAGTATTTTTGTCCTTGTGAGATGGGACAAAACAGGCAATGGGGTGCCATAGCCCTGAGGTTGCAGCAATGCCCTGAAGGGGGAAGCATTTCCCTCCCTGATTCCTTGTGCAGAGGCTGGCCATTAGCCCTGTGCATTGAAGTCATAGCCAGCATCTAATTCCTCAGTTGTCTGTCCTAAATGAGAGGACTTGCAGAAGAGTTGTAGAAACCAGGAACTTAAAAGCAAGTCTTTTCCTCTGTTCTGAAAGGACAGTCTGGCAGCTGAACATGTGTGGCAAGGTATTGCTGCCAGGAAGGGTTTCAGGAAATGCGACAATGGATTTCTAGAATCCTTTGGCACAGAGTTAAAAAGAGGTTTGCATCAGGAGTGTGTTCAGAAATGGTGAATAATTCAATATGCTGCAGCTCTTTGAAGGCTTTTAACTTGTTGGCAGCATTAGCAAGTCCCCACTAAAGGAGCAGGCATTTTGACACTGTTATGATGTCAGAATATTGCATTTATTTTTCCTTTTTGTGTCTACTGACTCCTTACCCCTTTTACGTATTGACAACATCCACCACAGAGTCAAGCAAATTTATTATGGTACTGAAAAGTTCCCTAAAGTAATTGCTAAAGGCTGCTAGTGTTAGCCAGCAGGAGGCACTGCTTCTACCAGATGGCTTGGAAGTGGCTAAGATAGGTGAAGACTTAACTGCCATTTTTCTGTCAGCCCCTTCAAACTAGGTCAAGACTATAGCCTGTGGCAGACATTATATTTAAGGTGTGTTTAACCAGTTAACCACATTTTAAAGTGTAACCTGGCCACATGTTCAGACAATGAATGGTATAATAAATCAAATCTTGTGTAATAATTTCATGGATTTCATAGACATTAGGGCTGGAAGGGACCTCGGAAGATCATAGAGTCCAGCCCTCTGCCCCAGGGACAGGAAGTCAGCAGGGGTCATAAGATCCCAGCAAGATAAACATCCAAGTTTCTCTCGAAGGCGTTCAAAGTAGGTGCTTGAACCACCTCCGGTGTCAGGCTATTCCAGACCTTGGGGAAACAACTTTATGGCTGATTTTCCATCATGCCCTTTATTTGAACATGTGGCCATTGGGTCCCCACCAGCTGCCAATCATTCAATCATCCACATGATCAAGAGTGTACTGAGCAATTCTGCTCATGATCAGGTGATTGTTGGCCAGCTCCAGCAACTACTTTGGGCTTCATTCAACCTCCCCTGTGGGTTCTAGGGGCCAGCCGACAATCAGCTGATTGTCAGGCACCTTGCCAGTGTGGGAGGAGCCCAGGATAACGATCCTGGGCTCCCTCTGCACTGGCAAGTATGGTACAATAGAGATTGATCCCCAGTCTAAAAACTGATGCCCAGGAAGTCCAATTGTTAGGATTGCAAATTAGATCCCAATGTGCCTTCAAACAAATGTCTGTCAGCAGCCTGAGACTGATCCTGCAGGGAGGAGGAAACATCAAGAGCTTTCTCTCAACTCTGGTGTTCCTGTCTGGATCACTGCTGTATTTGTTCCCAAGGAAGAAGGAAGTCTAAC